TAGAGCCTATAGTTATGGAGTAGAGATCATCGAGATTGGGCACCATCTCGAGGCTGGATCGATACGGGAACCTCTGACCCCTCGAACGTTGTACGATAACTTCACTTGTATGGCACGGCAATAAAGCGCCCGGGATGGTCCCGTAGGTATACTTTTTCCGAAAGTAATAATGGCCTAGTCAGAATTAATTTGCCTTTAGAGTAGGCGGACATTCGCCGCTTGCTCCATATATGAGTTTGTTTCCTCCTTTTCTGAAGATTCCACTATTTTGAGCCGCTATCCCTTTTCATAGAGTTCTTCTTCCTTGCGTCAGCCTTTCCACCATTTTAATTCAAAGTTTTCGCCTAAGTTTTCATTTTTCTTCTCCTGTTTTATCATAGCCATGGCTGCTACCCCATAAATCCGTTCACCAAGAAGAGGAGGGTTCCGCCTCTTCTTCCCGCTCAATCAGTGGTACACCACCGGCGTCTGGCGAGCCAACCTCAAGACATTTTGTCTCGAGGAGGGACCTTTCATTAGAGAGGCCTCTCAATGTCGAGGGCCACTGGGACCATGCATCAAGGTTCACTTCATCAATATGAGAGGAACATCTCGAAGCAGTAAGGACAGACTACAGATGGGAAGAAAAGGTGGTACTGCAGGTACCTTCTCCGGAAAAGAACATCAAGGCTCATACATAGGGAATTTTACACGTATATACGTACCCACATTCATGTTGGGCCCTCTCGACAGAGTCGTGCTTGACTTCTATCAAAGATATCGGGCTACCCTGGCACAGGTTCATCCGTCATTCTGGAGGAAAACGCTGATGATGAGGTTTCTTGCGGAAGAAGCCGGGCTCGAGTTCACCCTTAGCAATCTCATCAGATTGTACCGACCCTTTCATTGCCGAGGCCTGATAGCTTTGTGATGCCGATTCACCAGGCCCTTTGTTGTCGGTGGATGAATCGATTAGTCCGAGTAAGGATTGTCGATGTTATCCCCGTGGAGTTCCTGCCCTTTCCTGAGAAATGGGATGTCACACGTAAGTGGTAAACTTGTGTTTTTATCGTTTTTGCTCATGGTGGAGACAGATTCTTTAGAGACGCTTTCCTTTTCTTTTTTGCAGCAACCTTGTGGATGCCATACGTGGTCCCCGACTTGAAGGATTGGGCTTGGAAGCTGGCAGCTCGCTCGACTTATGATGAGCGTAAGTGGCGTGATCTATCCAAGGGTAGATGGGAGGAAAAACATCACGGTACGTGCTGTGTGGTTTGCTTTTTTTGGAGGGTACTTTCCTCTGCGTGTACTAACTCCTTCATCGCAGGCATTGGAGAATTTTCTAAGGTGAGATTGTGCTCCCTCGGAGAGGAGGAGGGGTCATCGGCTTCAGGACTGAGGAATAATAACAAACGGAAGGGACCCTCGCAGGGTGAAGGTGCACATAGCGAGACGAGTCCTGCCCGGAGGCCCAGAGAAGATGTCTCGGCTAAGCCTGCAACACCCGAGGCTTCCGGCCTTGGAAAATAGTTCCTCCTTTGCCGTCATCTTCTTTTCCCGTCGAAGGTACTTCGAGGGACAAGGATCCTCTGCCGATGTCTTCTCTTCCCGTCGAAGGTACTTCGAGGGACAAGGATCCTCTGCCGCCGTTTTCTCTTCCCGTCGAAGGTACTTCGAGGGGTATTCGAGGCCAGGGGCCTCCTGACGCAAGCGAGGTCTCGAATGATCACGTTCTTATTGGGAGTGGTTCTGCTGGGGTCGATGAGACCAGGCCGGTAGGTGTGCGTTCGACTTTTGAGGAGGCTCAACGGCTCTATTTCGTGGTGAGTTTTTGGCCGATTGTATCAGTTTTTTAGTTTTGCACTCCCACTTTCTTATTTGAGCTCCTTTTTCATAGGCCTTTGACAAGCTCAAGTCCGAGATGCTCCGCCGTGAAGCCAGGTTGAGGAAAGCCTTGGATGGGGAGAAATCCCTCAGGCTTCTTTGTGAAAAGAGGGGAGATGAGTTGGTATACCTGCGGTACGAGGCGAATCGGTGCCTGAACTACGAAAGCGACCTTGAGAAACAGGTAACCTTTGCTCCGAGGGAATGCATGCTTCTTTTTCTACACTCGGAGACTAATATTTTGATATTTTAGTTGCAGAGCAAGAGAGAGGATTTGGAACGCCTTTGGGGCGAGGTTGGCCAAGCCAAGTATGAGTGTAACGGGCTAAGGGCTCAAATAGATGCCCATGTTGCGGCAAGAAGAATGTTGATAACAACACGATAGGGGATTCAAGAATTACTAAAGAAAAATAAGAAAATCAAGAAACGTGCGGAAGCTAAAAGAAAATAAAGAAACAAAAAAAGGGCGGAAAAATAAAGATAGATTGAATTCAAGAAACTCTTTCTTGAATTCAGTAAGTCTATTCTTGAAGTTGAATCCTAACAACAACAATTAGCTAACGAAGAACTAATCGCCTTTGGTAGAGACTTAAAAACAAGATATAGATTGTGAAATCCGACACTTTAGAATAACAAGAACAGCAATAAGCCTAAACCTATCACCTTTCTTGATAGAATTTTTGTTAATAATGAGTGGATTGACCTATACCCTAAGGCAGTAGTGATTCATCTCCCTAAAACCCATTCGGATCACAACCCCCTTCTCTTAAATTTGCAACCTAGACATGCTAATAGTTTGGATAAGCCCTTTCGTCTAGAAACTATATGGTGTAGGCATCCTGATTTTATTAATCTAGTTAAGAAAAATTGGCTTAATAAAAACCTTGTAGAGGCTCAGGAAAATTTTACCAAAGATATTTTAATTTGGAAAAACTCTACCTTTGGTGACATTTTCAAGAAAAAGAGAAATTTACTTGCTAGACTAAATGGTATTCAATCATCTCCCCATTACTATAGTAGTGACTTCCTCCAAAATCTTGAATCAACTCTTCCATTAGAATATAACAACATTTTACATATGGAACATGATTTTTGGAAGTTGAGAGCTAGGAGTAATTGGATAAACGATGGTGATGCCAACACCAAGTTTTTCCATATTATGGCTTCTAACCGTAAGCGTCGTAATGCCATCATGTATTTCACTAATGAGAATGGAGATTGGATAACTGATCCTAATAAAATCCTGGACCACTCCTTCAATTTCTTCAAAGATGCCTTTCAAAGTGCTCACACTAGCTCCCCTATAAAAATTATTGCCTATGATCCCTCTGCCTTGAATAAAGTTAATTTGCAATACCTTGATAACCCCCTCTCTATTAGTGAAATAACAAAAGCCATTTTTTCTTTCAAACCATTCAAAGCCCCAAGCCCGGATGGTATACACCCTTTTTTTTACCAGAAATATTGGCATGTGATAAAAGACTCCTTTGTTTCTTACTGTGAAAAAGTTTTGCCCACTCAATCCCTCCCAAGTGGAATAAACAACACTTATCTATGCCTCATCCCTCAATTCCCTAATGCAAACAATTTAAAAAATTTCAGACCTATTGGTCTTTGTAACACAGCTTATAAGGTAATTACTAAAATAATTGCTAATAGGCTGAAATCCTTCCTCCCTTTTCTCATTAGTCCCATGCAATCTAGTTTCATGAAAAATAGAAGAACCAGTGATAATGCTATTATCATACAAGAAATCATGGGTTTTCTTAAACATTCCAAAAGCTCAAACTTTAACATGCTCATCAAATTAGACCTTGAGAAAGCATTTGATAGATTGGAGTGGCTTCAAATTCCCTCCTATGATAACTAAGCTAATCATGCATTGTATTACCACTAGTTCAATTGGGGTCCTAGTAAATGGTACAAAAACAAAATACTTTCAACCTAGTAGGGGTATTCGTCAAGGTGCCCCCTCTGTCCCTACATTTTTATCCTATGCATTGAACTCCTTTCTAGACTCATTAACCATCAAGTTGATCTTAAAAATTGGGACCCCATCAAAATAGGTCATAAGGGCCCCGCTTTCTCCCATTTACTATTTGCCGATGATATTACTCTTATGGGAAAAGCTAATAAAAAAACTAGTCAGTGTATTAAGAGATGCCTAGACTATTTCTCCAAAGAGTCCGGTCTAACAATAAACACTTCAAAATCCAGAATTGTTATCCCTCCCCATTGCCCTAAGGAGGGATCAACCTATCTTCATTCTCTCTTTGGAATAAAATGTACCACAGAGTTTGGAAATTATCTGGGATTCCCTATCCTCAATAAAAATCCCAAGGCCAAAGACTTTCAATTCATTTTAGATAAATTACAAAAAAAAAAAAAAATACTCCTTTCATTTATTATGCTTTCTATTTGAAAGAGAATTTATATAAAAATATTATTCAAAATTTAAATATGATTCTCTAGCATCATTTATTTTTAAGTTTCAACAAGTTATTAAAGTGACACATAATTCACCATACTATATTATGATAACTAATTATTTGTAAATAGTTACTAGCTAATACTGAGCTATTAAATTAATAAGTATTGTATTTCATAAACATGAAAAGTAATATTTAGGAAAATAATATAAAAATTTATGGACTAATATAATAAAGACATAACAAATATTAATAAATAAATACTTTTAAATGAAAGCTTTATTTAAAATTTACTATCATAGCAATCTTAGTAGATAACGTGCAATAAATTTTATTTTAATTATGACATAAAATACTCTCAACTTAATAATTTATGATTAAGAAAAAAGTAATTTTGAATAGTTAACGATTATTAAAAAAATTTGAGGATTTACAAGGTTACACACAACTGTATAAAGTTATATTAGACGAGCCCAGTACGTAAGGCATTGGGCGTGTCCGGGGCGTAAGACCCGACGGCCGAGGCGTAAATCTCACGGAACTAAGCCCCACACATAAGCCCAGGGGCGTTTTACGAGTGCCCCACCCTGGGGCGAGTCCCAATTCTGCCTTTTAAAACAGAGATCCAAACGCATGGTTAATAGTATATATTCACCTAACATTTCCAAGATTGCGTTCGGTGAAAGTAAAGGCCACACAATCATTAGCTATAACGAAACTAGACCAGTCATCATTAAGAGGTTCTCTACCAAAAGAGGACGAAAATTCCTGGCACATGTTGACTGCATGACTTCTTCTACACAAGAACTATCAAAAACCAAATTACTGTTGAAATGTTATACATCTTGATTTAAACGAACAAAAGAGGCTAAAGAACAAAGTGGCGGCACTTTAGCTTTAAAGTCAACCAGAATCTACAAAGCAGGTTATGCACTTTAAACCGACAGCTGCAAGATTACTGCATAATTACTAAATTCACTTCAGCCAAGTAGATCTGCTTAAGTACAGAGTTGATCAATTATGCCACAAGAGTTGAGCTACATATAATTACCACTTGTTCTAGACTTGACTAGTCAAGTTGCATTTCTGACTCGCTTCGCCATGATGCATGGTGCAACTGCCCCTTTATCCTTCTTATTATTCTCCTTGTCTTTTATGGTAGAACCCTTCTTTGTGGCTGGCTCTTCAGTGTCTACAGGGCTATCACCACATGTAAATGAAATAGCAATCAGTACTCCCAATAAAAAGAAGGGGACACTTCCACAAAATGATTTACAACCCTCATCACATCCTAATGCGACGTATACTTCAGCCAGCAGAAAAAAGAAAAAGAAAGTTCATTCAGCAGTCTCAAGAAAAAGAACACACACATAGTAGGTGACATTATCACAAATAGAGGTACAGTTCTTACTTTGCAGGGACTGCCCTACCCAAGAGAGGGCACAAAAAATTATTATGTGGTTTACAGTGTTGCCATGGCAATGATAACCTTTGAAAAATTCAAGTTAATGCATTCAGATGGCTTCAGTACTCTCTAGAAAAAGAACTAACACATAGTGTGGCATTATCACAAATAGAGGTACAGTTCTTACTTTGCAAGGACTACCCTACCCTGGAGGGCACAATGTTGCCATGGCAATCAACACCTTTGAAATATTCAAGTTAATGCATCTAGCTAGACGGTTATACCAAATTCATTACTAGTCCAACCAAACAAGGGGTGAACTGGGATAGGAAAACTATGAGTCCATTACTTCATATTTTCTATGCCAATTTTTGTTAGGAAGACATAAGTACAGTAACCAAGATGGGAAGCGTAAACTTATGTCACCTGAATTGCAGGTATAAAATCTATTACCTCTCAGAGAGTTCAAGTTAAATATGAAGTGTTGAAAAGCAATAACTTACTTGCAGGAGATATTGCTAGGATACATTAGAATATTTATGTTTTCTGAGCACTCTCAGCATGCCAACCGTCGATAATCTTTTATATACCACAGGTAAAAACAACCAAAAGATACTTCTTGCAGAATCAGTAGCTGTTGCTCTATAAGTTGTCAACCTAAACTTGGTTCGAACCTTGTCAACAACCATAGAATTACACAAAGGAACTGCGCACCAGCCTGATCATTTTTCTTTTTTCCTTTTTACTGAATCTTTCAGTTGGTGCTAAGAGTCCAAAGTGAAAGCAGGAGAGGGAAATTTTCAGCTTAACACCAATATAAAACCTCACAAGTCATCACCACTTAATAAAAAGAGAGATTCATTTAAAGCTTAATCAAGGAAAAAACATTTAAATAGCAGTGAGATTCTGTTTAATTGATAAGAAAAATTACATCATAAATCAGTTTCATAATACAGAGTCTAGGCATTAAAAACAATAGCGCACTTAGTACAACCGAAAAAAGGAAATGATTAACGTTCTTGAGAAGTGATTATTAAAATTATCTGGACTTTACAGCTTGAATTTATCCATCTCAGTTCCCTGCCTCGCCTATTTCTAGGCAAGTGGGTCACCCATAGAGAAAAAATAGGTTAGAGTTCTGAATAGCTTAGCTTGACAAAATAAATTGTTTTTAAATGGGTTGACAAAACTGAGGTAAGCCCCCTCCATTTCTTTTATGTCTTCACTTTTGACCATCATATAGCTTATTAACTTAGTTTGACTTATACACCGTGTTACTAATAGTATAAACTTATCAAATCAAGTACAATAGCTTGTTTAAAAGGTTAGGAAAGGAAGACACATGCATTCGTTTGATATCTCGAGATAGTTTAAAGGCGTATTGATATATTAAACTTCTAGTAGTGTGTTAACTATCAGAAGTATTTTTTTCTTCAAATATTAATCTTCATCCAGTGCTTTTAGAAGTGAGAAATACAACCAAAAAAAAAAAAAACAAGGTGAAAACTGACCATAGAAATGCAACATCTACCCACTTAACCCAATACCCAAGTTTTGCAGTGACTTCTTATGAAACCAGTATAGAAGTTCAAAGGCTTTTTCTACATCCAGTTAGCAAACAGAGACATTACCCGATCCTAGAATCGAGCACTCATAGCAATTAAAACTGCAAGGTACTCTACAAATCCTTTACAAATGAGGGGAAGGTGAAACCAGAGACAACCCATCCATCACCTAATGTGAATGCACTGAGAGCTAGAATCACATTCATAAGTACTTGTCAACCACAACTAGCACATATTAAGAACACAGGAATAATTTCTTAGGAGGAAGAAAAATAAGGACCGAGCTCAAGAGTTCGCGGAAGCAAAGATAGAACTTTCAACAAGGCCAAATTGGATGCTCATAAATTAAACAAAAGGGGTAAGGAGTAAATGACAGAATGCACTCACATTGCTATCCCATCAACAGGAACAAAAACAGGATCATCAACAGATAAAGTACTGAGTAACTCCACGGACACATCTAAAGAGCGTGTGTTTCTGAAGACAACAAGGTGAGCCACTCCCAATTTTCCGGAAGACAAAGGAGCAATCAACACGAAATCTGTACGACACAGTTGAACCAAAACTGGAAATGCATCATCAGGGAAAGGAAGTTCCCATAACATCCCTTGAAGACTTGTTGATTTAAACCATCTTTTCTCGGAAAAATCATATCCATACAAGATCAAGTTATTGGCAAACCAATACAATGTTGAGTTGCTTACAACCGGCCGTACATTGATGACCACATAAATTAGTTTGTCAAGGTCACCGTCATCAAGCCCATTAGGCAAAGAATTGCCGCTTGGGGATCTTGATACTCGGAAATTAAAGTGGGGATGAACTTGAAATTTAAAACCATCCTCATGGATATTGTAAATTAGCAAGTGGCCCGTCAGAATTGAGTAACATACAACTTCACCTTCCCCTTTCACAAAGGCAGTAGTACTACTAGTAAAAGTAGCAAAATCCTGGACATTCAATGCCATCAGCTTCCAGCTTTTGGTGTCAAAGCTGTCAATGTCGTAAGCTTCGCCGCAGTACCTCCCTTCGTACTCGTCACCTTCGTAGGGAAACTTTTTGCCCCCCAGAACATAGATCGTCTTATCAAGGGAAACAACACAGGCCTCATGCCTATGAAGCTTCTTGGAAGACGATACGGGAACCCAGGAGACGGGGTCGGTGCTTGTGATGTCGTGCCTATACAATTCCATAGAGGAGTAAGGGAGTCTGATCCCCATATCCGACGGCTCAGGGTTCTTGATTCCGCCGGCCCAGTAGATGTGGTTACCCACAATGGCCCAGTCTCCTCTGAATTCCAACTCCATTGGCGCAACCTGAGAAAGTTCAACCGTACTGGACTCTGAATCGAAATTAATACAATACCACAAATGCTTCCGACCATTCATACAGTGGACATATATCTGTTGTCGCCGCAGTTGCTTTGCCATTGAATTTGAACAGTGAGATAGAATACTCCTCTGGCTTTAACGTCTAGGGTTTTGGGAATTTGGGGCGACTGCTAACAAATTGAAATATCTTTAGGTCTAGGGTTTTAGTGTGTTGTATTGCTCTAGGATTTTTAGGAGAAAAAGATAGTGTCAACGGATCACTGTTAGAACGAACAATAATAGTAGTACTAAATAAAGTGTATTAATAATAATAAAATTTCTTATTTACTAGTATTTGATTTTGTGTATTAAAAATAACATGCATTGTATGTGGGTGTATATCTACTTATTTGTAGCAGGGCCCTAAGATGCTCGGACTAGGGTGCGGGTATCCGATATGAGTTCAAATCTAGAGGTCGGATCCTTCAAATCCAAATTTTAAGATCTGGGGGTACAAATACTTATGCGAGAATTCAGCTATATTTAAGAGTAGAGCTATTAAAATATGCGTAAATTATGAAACTTTATTTGAAAAACTTACAACCTGTAGAATGAAGTAACTCAGCCTTTCATTCTCAAGTAGTAGGTAGCCATCTAGAAATCTAAAGTAACTTTTGTCTTGAGAAATCAAAAATCAAAATCTTATCTCTATAAATAGGGGAACACTCATTGGCATAAGATATCCTTATATATATCTCAAGTACCAACACTCTTCCTTAAGAAAAACTGCATAAGTTTGGTAACTGCAGTACTAATAGTTGTGTGTTTGGAGATCTGATTTATTATTTCTTGGCTTTTCATCATTCTATCCAGAGAGAGTATTTGTAAGGGACAAACAATTCTCTTTGAAAAATGATCCTAACAAGGTATACGACTTGAAATATATCCAGATTTTTCATCACAAACTCACTGATTTAAATATGACTTCTTATGAAACTAATTTAGAAGTTCAAAGGCTTTTTCTACATCCAATTAGCAATCAGAGACATTACCCGATCCTAGAATCGAGCACTCATAGCAATTAAAACTGCAAGGTACTCTACAAATCCTTCACAAATGAGGGGAAGGTGAAACCAGAGACAACTCATCCATCACCTAATGTGAATACACTAAAAGCTAGTATCATATTCATAAGTGCTTGTCAACCATAACTAGCACATATTAAGAACACAGGAATAATTTCTTAGGAGGAAGAAAAATAAGGACCGAGCTCAAGAGTTCGCGGAAGCAAAGATAGAACTTTCAACTAGGCCAAATTGGATGCTCATAAATTAAACAAAAGGGGTAAGGAGCAAATGAAAGAATGCACTCACATTGCTATCCCATCAACATGAACAAAATAGGATCATCAACAGATAAAGTACTGAGTAACTCCACGGACACATCTAAAGAGCGTGTGTTTCTGAAGACAACAAGGTGAGCCACTCCCAATTTTCCGGAAGACAAAGGAGCAATCAACGCAAAATTTATACGACACATCTTAACCAAAACTGGAAATGCATCATCGGGGAAAGGAAGTTTCCATAACATCCCTTAAAGACTTGTTGATTTAAACCATCTTTTCTCGGAAAAATCATATCCATACAAGATCAAGTTATTGGCAAACCAATACAATGTTGAGTTGCTTACAACCGGCCGTATATTGCTAACCACATTGATTAGTTTGTCAAGGTCGCCGTCATCAAGCCTATTAGGCAAAAAATTGTCGCTTGGGTATCTTGATACTCGGAAATTAAAGTGGGGATGAACTTGAAATTTAAAACGATCCTCATGGATATTGAAAATTAGCAAGTGGCCGTCATAATTGAGTAACATACAACTTCACCTTCCTTTTTTATAAAGGCAGTAGTACTACTAGCAAAAGTAGCAATCGTGGACATTCAATGTCATCACCTTCAGCTTTTGGTGTTAAAGTTGTCAATGTCAACAACGGGAGGTTCTTGAGATTGAGCCAGTGGTGGGATGAAAGCGAGGTTGGTGGGGTATGATAGCGGGGGATGCCCTTTCATCCATGCCTGGTACATTTCGACCATTTGGTGCTTCAACTTATGTAACTCCTCTTTCAGACCAGGCGCAGACTCCTCCACCTCTCCCGGTGGATCAATAATACTTGCGTCCAGTTCTTGGCCAGCCATGATCAACTTGTTTTTAGACCTGGTGTTGTACGGGTTGGTTGCCAGAATGCCAAACAAACTAACCACGTTCCTGTTCTCAATGACAACAGCAAACTTGTTAGTGTTTAAGATTAAACAGATAGGCAACCGCATATTTAGGATGCAATGCACCTGAACAGTTAAAAGTTTCTACCATGTATTTGAACAACTACATGTTTCATCCCGGCTTTTAACTAACTCTTCTCATTTTGCGCTTTCTCTTCTCTCTCTTTTTCTTTTCAACCCTTCTTTTATCACTATTGGCCTTTCCCGCTTGTTTTTATTGCTTCCTTTTTAGTTTGCACTCGTTTTCTCTCTTGTTTTGCCATTATTTCTCCACTTAATTTTCTTTTATTTTTTTTACTTTTTTTTCTTCTTTCCATTTTACAGTTATGATCGAATCCTATGGGGATTGCCTACGTATCATGATGCCGCTTGAATCAGATCATTACGTAGTTCAGGAGGATAAATGCAAAATAAAAGAAAGATACATTTTTTGGTTTTTTTTTTTCAAATTTTCATAAAATAAACTAAAACAAAAACATCCTGGTTACAACGACTTCCCCTATAGATTAAACATAAAAACTAGCAGAGTCGAAAGGTGGACTAACAAACTCCAAAAGAAAATGAAAATACAGACTCAAAAATGGACTAACAAACTCCAAAAGAAACTGAAAATACAAACTCGAACAATAAAAATCAGGAATACATAAGTGCCTCAACTACTGCTCCAGGGGCCAGCGGGACATCAGTCGGTCTCGCCGCGGGCCTATGTGCCATGTCTTCTTGGAGGCGAAATAGGTCGTCCATGATCTGCCGGACAAAAATCATAACTGAAGCGAAGAACATGGACCTAGTCATGTCTTCGCATTCGTTGCATTTCATCACAATGTAGTCCGCAATCCTCCTAACCCTCTCCCCGATAATACCTTTCTCTTGTAACAGCCATCTAATCTGCTGAGATCTGGCCCCCAAAACTTGTTCGGATGTATGATTTTTCTCATGAAGCTACTGTAGGTCTTTTCCTAGCTGTGACATTAGGGCATAGCAGTGTTCTCTTTCTGCTTTGAAGTCTCTTGCCTGCTTGGTCATTTCGTTCTCAAGGACATTGACCCTTTTCTTCAGACCCATGATTCCTTTATCGTACCTTTCCTTCAATTGTCGAAAAATATTTGCCCGTCCTTCCGCATTCTTAGCCAACTTTGTTCGGGCCTTTGCCAGTTCACCCTCGGTCTTTTTCAGATCAAAACCATATTTACCCACTTTCCGCCTAAGGTTGTCTATAAGCTTCTCATCCTTTGTGCTTCTGGCGGGGTTCTCAGCTGCTATTTTCATCTCCTGGATGTGGGCTAGTAGGGCGTCATTTTCTTTGGCTAATCTTTTCTTTCACCCTCATCCGCAGCGCCTTGCGAACCATTCTCAAATTGAAGATCCCTGACTTGTTTTTCCAACCTGCTTATTATGGCTTTTTACTATTTTCCTTGGTCAACCAGGTCCACTGTTCCTGCGATGCTTCAACAAATTCCTGGATGTGAGGCCTTTTGGTTGGCTTTTCAGGTTCGGCCCTTGCAGTATTCTTCTTTCTATACCAAGCAAGATAAGCAGGTGAGACCTAGCCTTTAGACAAGTCACACACTCGGGTGTTTGCTGTCAAATACTGGCACTCGTTCCAAATATGACGAACTGTTTCTTCATGAAATTGACCATCAGAGCCGACCTCGACCGCATAAACACTAAGATCTTCATCCGGGTGCACCACCTGGCATCTTCCCAACTGTCTCATCACCCGGTATGAAGCATAAGGTTGAATGCCTAGAAGGCCCATTAGGAGGAAGTAAGGACCGGTGGCAGGCATATACACAATTTCTTCAACAGGAAGCCAACCCAGTGTCCACTATATTTGCCCCGCAGTTATGGAGCGAAGGCGGGATACCCAATCTGCAAACCCTTCTGGCAATTTGAACCCTGAAACCCTTGTGTCAAACTCTTCAATGTAGCTTTCCCCCGTAGATCTGTAATTCATATATCGAGGGTGGTGACACAGATGCTCAATTATCCACATTTGTAGTAGCAAATTGCACCCCTCGAAAAATCTACCCTAGCTTTACAAGCCGTGAGAGCTCGGTATATCTTAGACACTATCATAGGGGTGAGGGTGCTCTTGGCGTTAGTAATCAAAATATTGACGACTCTGGCTACCCGCAGATCAATATTCCCATCCTTCCAGGGGAACACCATAAGACCTAAGAAAGCTACCATGAAAGCGAAGCACCTATTCTCTTCATATTTCGATCGGTTCCCTTTGCTACATATCCCATTTTACGGGTTGTCAAATCCTTTTACATGCCTGTACCTCTGGTATAAGAAGCGTAGAGTGGAAAACCCAACCGCCAAATCTGCATACTGGACCCCCCTACTTATTTTTGGCAAATCCAGAAACTTGTGAGGGGTAATAGCCCTTGGAGCGACCAGGTACTTATGCCTTAGACCTTCAGTACTTCCCACACAACCTGCTCTCTCTTGTGAAGTGGGTGTGAGTTCAAAATCAGAGAAATGTAGGACGTTGTGAGCTGAGTCACAAAATATTACCAGTGCCCTTATTATGTCTCCTCTGGGCCTGATCTTCAGCAATCCGGTGAGCCCACCCAAATAAAGGTTGACCACATCTCGTCCTTCTTTACCCAAATTTTCCCACCACATGTGTAGATCCAACGGAATCTTGGACATGATCTTCATTGGTAAATTTTGACTCGTGTTCATTCTGCACATTTAGATTAAGGCGATTGGTTAAAAGACAAAGTGAATCTTATTTGAAAACTGACAAAAGGCTTATTTTTGCAAAAAAATAATATAAATCAGGGCTACTTTTGCGAATACGGCCTTTCATTACTTCGGCATAGAAGTTCTTAGGGCTGTGTTCGCTAAATGGCCAAAATTGACAAAGAAACCGTTGGTGGCTATTTTTGCAAAGCAGCCTTCCGGCGTCCCGCTGGGACATTCGTCTATTTAGACAAAACGGCATCACCCACTTATTTACAACAAGAATGACGACAATTCATATATTTTTTCAAGATTTTCAAAAAGCG